CAGGGAGGGAGGGACGAAGTGATGGACAGCCAGAGGGAGGGAATGTGGGAGGGGGAGGATGGATGGAGGGATGGAGGGGTGTAGAGTGCAGCAGAAACTTCCCATGCTGGCCTCCCAGTGTGGCTACGTAATGAGGGAAAGGGACACACACACACACACACACACACACACACACACACACTCGGGGCTGGGCATGGCCCCCACGGCTGATTAGCGGCACACAAAGGGCCCAAACAGAAGTAGCAGTGGACACACAATGGGAGCAGGGCCTCAAGGCGTGGTTTACTTCTGCCCTGAGGGAGGGGGCGAGAGAGGTAGAGGGACAGTGAGAGTATGGAGAGGGAGTCCCACTGTGCTGGGCAGGCAACAGAAGGGAGAGAGTGAGGGAGGAAGAGAGGGAGGTTAGAGGAGAGGAGCGAGAGCTGGAGCTGGGTTCGAAAAAGTGACAGAAGCTGAAAAGAGTTTTGTTTTTGTCCTGATAGAGACGCTGCTGCTGCTGCTGCTGCTGCTGCTGCTGCTGTGTTTACTCTGCTCTACACCTGCTCACAGTCACACACAGAATCGTCCAACAACAAACAACAAACAAATGAAATGCTAAACTTCTGTTGTTGTCGTTGACGAAGGAATTCTTTTCTGGATGTTTCCGGCCTTTGCGTCAATCGGCAAATACAAAACTATCAGATGTGACTGAGCAGCAGGTCGTACTGTACTGTACCGTACATGTTAATGAAGTTCAACGGTTGAGGCTCCGGTCAAACCATAGATCGTTCATAATAAATGGATGTTGCTGTTCCTCCATGTGAATGGAAATGTACGGGGTCTATACCGTTTTAGTTGTTTTCGTACCAGTGGTTCTCAAAGCAAGGGGCGGGTCCACACACAGTTCGCAGTTATTTCAAAATCTTTTTTTTTTAAATTGGTGCCACAGTGTAGAAATTTCAGTTTGTGTGGCCGCGGCAGCTTAAAAAGCATTTAATTACCTCATAATAAAGTTCATGTTTCTTTGCCTAACAAATTAAAATGTTTTGTTTTTTTACACACAAAACGTACAATATTTGTACTTAAATCTTAAGTACAAATATAATAAACTTAAATAAATAAGAATCATTTGCAGAAGCATCTATGAACAAAATAGACAAATATAGATCCACTATAAGGAGTTCAGGGATTGCAGCTTCTTTTTCCTGTTTTTCCTAATTACTTCATGGCATTTGAATACACACCACGCACACATGAACACACTAATGGTCCTCAGCCGCGGAGAGGCTCCTGAAATAAGTCATGCACTAATTGTATTTGATAAATCATAAAAGGAGCCCATCAGAGCAACGCTCGCTGTAATAAAATGATAAAATGGACAATTATAGGGAAAAAAATGTCAGCCTTTAATTTTCTAAATACACTCTGGAGAGGAGACGTTTAATCGGGAGCGATTTGTCGGAATGCTCAGCGTGTTATTTCCGTCCTCTCCCTGACGCGTTAAATCACAGCAGAGAACAGCGTATGTGTGTGTGTGTGTGTGTGTGATTTTTACACACATTAACAATAATGTGCTTGTTAGAAAATCACCAAACATATTTTAGAACATATCAGATATATAATATATTTCATGTTGCAACATGTAACTACACTGTAGCAAAGTTTGATCAAAACCTTATTGTGTTTGGCTGGAAAATGTTTTTAACTGCCAGACTTTTACAGTGATCGCAAATATACTATTAGTCAATTAATATAAATTTTTACACACATTAACAATAATGTGCTTTTTAGAAAATCACCAAACTTCACCATCACACAAATATATTTAGAAAACATTTTATATTATTGTTATGGAAATAATAAAGGCCATATTTTAGAACGTATCAGATATATAATATATTTCATGTTGCAACATGTAACTACACTGTAGCAAAGTTTGATCAAAACCTTATTGTGTTTGGCTGGAAAATGTTTTTAACTGCCAGACTTTTACAGTGATCGCAAATATACTATTAATCAATTAATATAACCTTAATACGACTTAACCCCCCCCATCTAAACATCAAAACATAAATATAGACAAATATATTTAGAAAACATTTTATATTATTGTTATGGAAATAATAAAGGAAAATAACCAGCGAGGGACAGTGAGGGAGACAGCGCCACAGTGTGGAGTGGGAAAATGGAGCTGGGTTGAGCACTGGTAACTAGATGTTTCCTCACATCACGAGGAAAATCTTGCAAAAATTGCTTACTCATAAGTCGTATTTATGTTTTTTGGGGTTCACCCTGGACCTGTACTCGGAGTAGAATATGTTTTCAGTTGTGAATTGATTCTGTCATTTGGAGTTTACATCTTTTTCTCAGCGTTTTTGTCCGTCTTCCATTGTGATGCATTTCCTGTTGTACGGATCAAATTCTTTTTTTTTTTTCCTCATAAACTGTGTAATATCATTTAACCTGATGTGACACACAGGTAATTGGCAAACAATCGCTCAGATGTGGCTTTTTAAAATGGCTCTTTGACTCAGTCATCTCTTTATGTAGGCCACTGTTGGCAGTCACATCTGGTAACACGATGACACAAACCAAACCCTCTATTGTCACCAGATCACATTAGCTCTTTGAGGCACGCAACACATCATATTAAAAAAAAATCATATTCCTCACATCTTTTCAGTGCCTTTTGTAAATTCAACTGTGTGTGCGCACGTATGTGTGTGTGTGTGTGTGTTTTGAACTGTTGCTGCCACTGTGTAAAATAACATGGAAAAGGTGATTTTCCACTGTAGTGAGGTTTCCACAGTGTGATTCCCTGAGGCAGCAGCAGAGACATGATTGAATTTTTTTGTGCATTTATACAGTATATGTAGTAGTATACTGTACACGTGTCCAAATATATGTATGTGTGTATGTGCCTGTGTGTGTGTGAGAGAGTATCAGGTAAAACTAAGCTCTGACAATCTGTGACTCTTCTCTCTCTGTCACTGGCAAAATGTTTCATGGGAAAGAAAAAGTTCTCTCAAACACTTCAAACTTATATGAAGTTGTTACGAACGCATCTCAGCTCTGCAGAAACATTAAATAAAACACACCTTTCTCCTGACTAACACCCGCAGCTGTGCAGTTTTCAGGATTGTTCTGGAGAGTGACAGGGAGGAAGAAAGAGTCCTGACTGTCTCCATTTCACCCTCTCTAACTCCGGCTCTCTCTCTACCTGCAGGTGATGCCGCTGGTGGACCATCAAACCAGCAGAATCAGGAGGGACCAGAAGATGCTGACACACACACACACACACAGAGTTGCATACGTGGCAGTATGCTGCAGTGTTCTGTGGCTGTGTGTCAGCAGTGACTGGAGCTGAACAGACGTGAACACTGAGGGTTCATCTGGATGGAAGTGTTGGGTCTCTTCTCTGGTGTTGACAGAAACACCTGAAACTAATTTGGTTAAAGATAACATAGTGACAGACAATTAATTTAAACAAATATTGTTTTTTTAGAAAGTAAGAAAATCCTTATTTTAATGACATGTACCTCTTACGTACTTCCATGTAAGCAGGCACACACACACTATATACACATATATATACACATATATAGTGTCATTTCTACACACATGCACAGTTTGCGTGTATAATGTATGTCTACACACATATATATTTATATTTTTTGAAAAACAACAAAATTAAAATTGAATAGTTTATTCTGTTGATTGATTGACTGTTTTAATGATTTGTTTTTCTAAGAAAAATTACACTATTATTTATGAAAATAAATGCTTTTTTGTTTGTATACATTTTATATTTTTCCCACTGTTGGTGTTATATGTATACTAATGCGTTCCATATATGTTTAGCTGTTTTTTTGTTAAATACATTCTTGAGTCATTGCAGGATCTGGTCGCTCTGCAGCGCTAATCTGTTTTACAACCTTACGCTTTACTTTTCTGACTTTTTCTTTACTCCTTTCACACTGTTACTACTGTACTACTGTTATAATGTTTTCTCCCACTATCTATCTATCTATCTATCTATCTATCTATCTATCTATCTATCTATCTATCTATCTATCTATCTATCTATCTATCTATAGTCTAGAAAACTTTGTTTTACACATAGTGTAAGTGTTTATATAACTGTTTTCAACTGGTGGCAGCTGTACTAGTACTAGTAACCTGTAGGTTGATGTCTTTTAGACTTCCATCTTCCTGTCTCCACTTCAGTGACTGTTGTTGTTGAACAGCTGCAGCCTGTTTCTAGATTATTTATTGTTAATATTTATATTTTTTAAAACCTTTTGCCTGATGGTGCCGTGTTCACGGTGATGAAGGACGGATGAAGTGAATAAAGAGTTTATGGTACAAGTTTTACAGGAACTCTGACCTAAATGTGTCTAATTATGCCTTAATGTCTGCAATTATGAAGTGAAGAAGAGTTCCTCTGTCGTTTGACCATCAGTGATCACAGAAGCTGCTACAGTAACACACACACACACACACACACACACACACACACATAGAAGTCCAGCCCCGGGCCATCTGCAGCAGTAAGTGTAAATGATCGCATAGCTGTGGTCATAACTCACAGTCATGCAGGGCCACTGATGAAAGCTGACACCCAGTGTCTCAGTCAGTGTCATTTTAGACTCTTCATGTCGCTTCCCTTCCCTTCTGTCTCTTCTCCACTTCCTCCTCCTCCTCCTCCTCCTTGATGCCTGGGGTGATGAAACTGACTCTGTTAAATTAGACCACCGCCACCCCTCCCTATACCTCCACCCATGTACACGCACACACACACACACACACACACACACACACTTGTTTGCCTATGCTCTCCAGCCACATCAGCATGCTTAACCTTATTGATCTGCTCCTATCTACTGGTACAAATCAGAGCGATCCGTCACTGATATCACTGTTTGCAGGGCGGACCTGAGAGGATAGTGATGGATGACACATTCATCACATGGTGAAGTGGAGAGCAGTGACGCACACTCACACCCACACAGACTCACCCCCGCACACACAGGGTAACAACAGGTTCAAGGGTGGTAAAAATGTGATCACTTTCATGACTTTACACTCGATCAATCGATCAATCGATCAATGATTCTCTGATTAACAAACACATTTGTCAGAGATCGATATGGACTTGTTTTCCCTGCAAATGTGTACTTTCTGGTACTTTTCTAGTCTCTCACCTGTCATTTTTTAATTTCTTTTCTAGCGTTTGTTTTAAATCACATTTCTCCAATTTTTATTTCACACGCTGCAGCCACAGCCTCCAGGGGCATGCTGGGATTGGGTGTCTTGCCCAGGGACACATTGGCATGTGTACTAGTGATGCAGTACATGCTTCCCAGCATTTACACAGAAACTTCCTGGACATTCTTCATCGACTGATGAAAGAGTGAAAGTTTTTATGTTTTCTAAAACCAACCAGGGTCGTGATCATTTCAGCAGAAGCCATGAGGTCACGGGTTTGCATCCCCACCCCTCACCACCCAAAGATGAGGTTATGGCTAAGGTTAATAATCACAGGTGTAAATATAACGACTATATAGTTATGGCTCAGAGTTTTGTTTCATATTTAATGGTTAACCACACTGTGGGAACTTAAGTGTCCTGATTGGAGGTTTTAACACTTTTATAATATTATTTTATTCACACAAATACAGCTATTATTGTCAGAACTACTATGATTACTGTTATTATATTCAGCATTACATCAGCTTCACTGTTATTGTTGTCACTATGACAATGCAGAATACAACAGTCAGACACCTAAACCTGGCTAACTTCATGTCATTGTTGTAAACACTTGACACTGTTGATCATATTCTACCCAGCTCCACTGTTTCAAAACCAAAACCCAACTCTTTTATGTGGTGACAATACAACGGTAAAGGTTTGATATAGGAAACCAGGAAGGTTAGGAAGAGATCAAGGTTCAGGATTTAATAAAAAAAACAAAAACAAGGACACAGACATGGTTCCACTGACCAAGTGTCTGAGATGAAGCCAAATATCTGAGTTTGAAACAGAGGGAAAAAAATGTCCTGCTGGTTCAGAGCAGACCAGTGGAGCTGTGAAGCATCAGATTTCCCTGGACGACCTGGTGACACAGAAATTAAATGCAACATAGACGAGCAGAGACGTCAGTGTGTTGGCAGCGCCCTCTACTTTCTTCAATTATGATCATGTGTCAGAGTTTGTTTTTTTTTTTTAATAAAAACAAGCTAATGTTTATTTGGTCGTCTCACAAACGGAGACAATGTTGTCCCTCATTCTGACGTCTTTGATTTTTCATGTGAAGTCACGCAGGACGACTGTTACCTTACAACTGAGACTGACGTTCATTAGACTAACACAGGTTTGCAGTCAGTGCTGCTGCGGTCAGTTTGGTCGGTGCTGTGATTGGGTCGTAGTCAGTGGAGTGGTGTCAGTGTGGTCTTTGCTGTCAGTGCAGCAGGTGCAGTTGATCAGAGTTGGTCAGTGAGGGTGGTTGCTATTTGTGCAGGTGGCTGTGGTCAGTGTTGTTGTTGTTGTTGTGGTCAGACTGTCATGACCACTAATGTCCAGCACTGATGTCCAAAAAAATTCAAACCTAAAAATCAGTGACATATACTTCTGTTTTCTTACAACAAGGGAAACTCGGAGCAAAGAAGGAAGTGCTGTTCAGAAATCTTGGACACACACACGTATGCAGACACACACTCAGAGAGCAGGAGAGCGAGAGAGTAATTGAAAACCTACACCTTCATATTTGTGAAATGCCCCTAAGCCCCTTAAGTAGAATACTCTCCCCACCTTAACACACACACATAGACACACACACAGAGAAAAGGAAAGTGGGTGAAAACGGTTAAACATTATTGCAGTTGAGCTGTGAGGGTCAGAGAGGAGACACCTGTCTCTCACACTCCTCACCTCTCTCTCTCTCTCTCTCTTTGTCTCGCTGCTAAAGATAAAATTAAAAATTTGATTTCACCCTTGAAAAGACACTTCTGCTAATTATCATTTAGATATGTGTAAAGGAAAAAAAAAAGAAGCAGACTGGGAGACAAAGAGGTTAAAAGGAAGGAGAGGGAAACAGTGGTCGTGTCCTCAGGACTGCCACTCAGTGGATCTGTTAAAGAAAAACAGAAGAAAATTGTTAATCTGTAGTTTTACTTCCCTCTGTGGATTTACGGTGTGTGTGTTTTAGTCAGTGTGTGGATAATTTAGCCATCCTCAAATGGAATAATCATTGCTTTTTGCTCCCACAATGTGCTCAAAATAAAGGAACAAATGCAATGCAACAACTGCTTATGTAAAATTGCATGAAAAAAAACAAACCCTGTATCCACTCCAATCCAATCCAGTAACATTTAGATGAGACTTTAGGATATCAAGAACTAAAAAGACAAATTTTTCTTTTCCATTTTGTCATTTTCTGGAAATCAAATTTAACTTATTAGAAAGTAATGGATCTGTGAGAGAAGTGCAATAAAAATTTACCATATTTTAACATTAAAAAACCCAGAAATAAAATAATACAAAATACACAGTACTACATGGCTAGCGCTCTTACCTTAGAGCAAGGAGTACGAGTACTTGAATGAAGTATCAGGACATGCTATGTTGATGAATAAAGTCAATTAGAAAAATTAATAAAAACGATAACACCAGCCACAGTCTGACCTTCTGGATTGACCTTTCATCTACATCTGTTCATGTTGGAAAAACATGTTCTTTACTTCAGAAAAATGTTCTTTTTGATCAAGCAGTTAAAAGAAAATCCAAGGGTTGAGTGCAGGTGGACAAACACAGGTTTAATGTTGCACTATAGAATACATTTTAATGTTTTAAATATACTTTTTATTGTTGTAAAGTGTCAACTGTCACCCTGCTCAACAGTTAGTGTTAACACCACCTGCTCCTGTGGGGAGGATATGGGTTTTATATGTAGATTTCACAGTGAGCTTCGGCCAATGTCTGCCTCCTCCTCAGTGCTTACTGAGTGATCAGTAGCACATTAGAGCACAGTGGAGTCCTAATGAAGTGTGGACAGTGGCTGCAGCTGATGGCATTGATTACCACATACACAAAACACAATACAGTCTCAGTGTGATGGACAACAGCAGACAAGACTCTTTTCTCCGCATCACAACAGGAAAGAATTCACAGACATGACTGTCTGTGTCCTCCCCTCTGCCCCCGCCCCCTCCTTGTTCTCCTCCCCTCTCCCTCCATCTCCAGCCTCTGGCCTTTTCCTCTGATGTCCTCTGTCATGCTCATTATCTATCTGTCTCCTTCATACACACAGTAACACTCTGTTACATACAGTATCTCTACAATGAATACGGGTTTCAATTGTGACAGTGTTTGTTTATGTGCAGAAACATGTCACACAGAGCCATAGATGGGTGAACTTTAACCCATGACCATCAGAACTAAATAAGGTAATTCAATAATAAAACATTTTGATGCAGTGATCTTTCCTTTCTTTGCAATTTTTTTTTGAAAAACTTGTATTTCCCTTCTACTTCCCCACTTTTGCAGGGAAGTAAAACC